TATGTGTGTGTGTGTGTGTGTGTATACTCACATACATGCATACAAGGGTGAGTCAAAAATTATCCCCACTCTCGCTGTAGAATTTATTGTAATCAACTTTTGGAAAAGACAAATATATCATTTTTCAGCACAATCTCCTTACATTTCAATACACATTGTCCATCTGTCAACAAGCTTTTGTATTCCCTTATATAAAAATGTTTTAGGCTGAGCTGCGAGCACAAATGTACCACTGTCTTCACTGCTTCATCAAATGTGACTCTTCATCCTTGAAGAGATGTTTTTAGGGTACCAAACAGGTGAAAGTCCAAAGGAGCAAGATCAGGACTATAGAGAGGATGTTTTAATACTTGAAAACAAAGTTTTTACACAACGTCAACAGTGTGGGCAGAGGTGTGCAGATGTGCATTGTTGTGCAAGATCACAAAGCCCTTGGAGAACAGTCCTTTTCATTTAATACAAAGTTTAGGCCTCTGCTCTTCAGTGAGCATCTAACTGTAATCAGCACTGTTTATTGTTGAATTTTTTTCCTGATAGCATTCCAATACTGGCCATTGAGAATCCCAGAAGACTGTAAGCATCAATTTTCTAGCTGATGGTTGACTTTTTAACTTTTTCTTAGTGGGCTATTGAAGATGTTTCCATCCCATACTCTGCCATTTACTTTCAGGTTTATAGTGATAAATCCATGTCTTGTCACCAGTAACATTTTTTTTTTTTTTGAAGAAACTTTTGCCTTCCTTCGAGAATTGGTCCAAATTTTGTTTGCAGATGTCCAAACGCTTCCTTTTTTCTCTTCTGTGAGTTGTTTTAGTGCCCGTCTCGCACAAACTTTTCGAAACCCAAGTCTGTCATGAATTATTTCATAGACAGAATCATGGCTGACTTGCAAAAATTTTACCACATAATCCATTGTCACTTGTCTAGTCGACAGAAGCATTTCACATTCATGCTCAATGTTGTCATCAACCGTAGACGTGGATGTGGATGGGCGTTTTAATATAACCGGAGTGTGGATGATTTTGACTCATCCTTGTGTGTGTGTGTTGTTGTTGTTAAACGCTGTCGAGTCGATTATGACCTAAAGCGACCCTGGTATAGGGTTTCTGAGGAGTGACTGGTGAACTTGAACTGCCAATCTTGTAGTTCAAACTGACTTTGCAGTTGCCTTGAGGGATTAAGATAAGGCTTTCTGCTCCTGTAATGATTTACAGCCTTGAAAACCCTATTCAGGTTCACTAGAGTTGGAACTGATTCAATGACAGTGAGCAATATAGCTAGATAGGTATGTGTGTATATGTGTGACACACATATATGTATGTACAGCATGTATGCAAGTTTATATATATATATGTTGCTGTTGTTATGTGCCATGTATATATATTTCTCTTTTAAAACTATTTCTGAAAATCTAGTGTAAGGCTATATGCATTGTCTTTTACATCTATTAACATTCAATTTAAATTATTCTCTTCCTTATGAAATATCTATGAGAGTTGAATAAAATATGGTTATATATTATTAATTCATTTTTGCTTGTAAGTTGTCACTAATATACTTAAGAAAAATTAATGTCACCCTTAAGGCCAGAATTTTTGCTAATTATTTCAGGATTTAAAGCATTTGGTTGTTGTCACAATTCACAAAGCACGATATTTATTAAAATTATGGTAGTTTCAAAACTGTTTTTTTTAAATTAATTAGTTTAGATTATAGGTATGATGGGGAAAAGAAGTGAAAGATTTTTTAATTAGATTGACTGGGATTAGAAAAGCAAAAAAATGAAAAATGTAGGAAGTTACATATTAATAAATGGATAAATGAAGTGTTCTAGTATTTGCTAAGTCATTCTTTCTTCTCCCCTAATATTTACTCTAGCATTCACAGCCATGGGTTAGTCAGCTGAACTAGAGATAGTGTTAGCAACATCTACCAAAACAGGAAGCTGCCTACTCCAAATAATACTGAAAGATTGTTTCATGACCATCATGAGTGCTCTGCTAGTTCATTAAGCACCCCTCCCCCCCCAGTATGGTGATGTAGGATAAGCACTGGACTGCTAACCACAACGTTGGAGTTTCAAACCCACCAGCTGCTCCTCAGGAACAATATACAGGATCGCTATGAATTGGAACTGACTCGACAGCCCATAACAACAATTGTTGCACTTTATGTTCACTATGAAGCTAACTGACTTGTTTTATGGCCCTTGAAAAATTATTGCAATACAAATATGCATAGCTTGAATTTCTATTTTTATTATTCATTTTTTTAAAAGCTAAAATGACTGTGAGACTGTAACTGTTTAAACAATCCAGAACAGTTAAATGAGAGATATTGGTAGAAAAAAAAATTGCTTTTATGTGTAAAATTTGTTCTGTTGGGGTTGATTGGAACTCTTAACAAATAATTGATGAGGAAGTAATGTGTAAATGTATCACAGTTCATCTTTGACTGTTTTTAATGAGAACTTTGGACTTGGAATCAGACTAGACCTAGATTCAAATTCTGACCCAACTGCTTTAATAACCCTGTGGCATTGGGTAAGTTACTTAAATTTTCTGTAGTTCATTTTTCCTACTCATTATAAAAGAGATTATAATAGTACCAAGTGCATTGGATTATTTTAAGGATTGAATGATATAATATGTGTCCAATTTTCAGTAACTTCCTGGTGCATATAGTATTGGTGTGGCACTGAAGGATAACTACTCGACCACAAAGTCGATTTGAACTGCAAGATTGGCAGTTCAAACTCACCAGCCGTTCCTCAGAAATCCTATCCAAGGTTGCTGTGAGTCGGAACCAACTCAGTGGTACTTGACTATAGCAACAACAATCTGATACATAGGGACTATTGAATCAATAAGTGGTAGGTGTTACTTTTATCTTTCTAAAATTAGGTGTTCCAAATTAATTTTACCTGTAAATAACAAAATCTGATGACATTGTTGTATAAACAGTAAAATTCTAAAAGCAGTTACTGTGGCACTAGTAAACTTTTGTGATTATAGATTTGAACAAGCTTTTATATTGATTATTCAGTTCTTTATCTCTTCTGACATTACAAAAATTTTTTATTACAAACAGATGTATAACTTCCATGATATAGAATGGGATGACCCTAACATATAGTGAAACAAAATTCAGTATATTCTGTAGTCAGATGATTGGCAGTAGTGACAGATTATTTCTCTTAACAATCTTGTCATTGTGAATTAATTATGTTTTTCATTTTATTTTCTTTCTGCTTTTTGATAATTTCCAGATCTCTGGTGGAAGAGGAAGACCAACACATGAAATTATCCCTTGGAAGCAGCGAAATGGGCCTCTCATCCCATTTGCAGTCTTCCAAGGCAGGAGCTACACGCATCTTTACCAGCAATACCCATAGTTCTGTGGTGTTACAGGTAACCTGAACTTTCCTTTATGCCGTATTTATAAAGCTTTAAAAATCTAGCAGGGGAGATACTTTCTTAATGTAAAACGAAACCATCTCTAGAGCTCACTCTTCATTTTGTTTATATAAACGAGGTCTTCCTATCATGCCACTTTCTTATAAATGGCAACAGTGGCTTGCCAAATTAAATACCACAAGGTCCAACACTGAATTTTCTATTCCTCACTCAGAATTTTAGTATCCCCTTCAGCACAGTTCTAAAGATTATATTTGGTGGGTACTTAACAACAGTAACAACAACCTGGGTGTGGAAATAGAGCTGAGGATTGCTGTATGCAAACACACTGTAAGTAACCCTGGTGGAATAGTGGTTATGATTTGGGCTTTTAACCGCAAGGTCAGCAGTTAGAATCTACCTGCTGCTCTGTGGGGAAAAGATGAGGCTTTCTGCACTCATAAAGATTTACAGCCTCAGAAACCTTGTTATGAATCGGAATTGACTCCATGGCACATAACCACCAATCACCAGATATAAGAAGTAATGACAGAAAATCTGTGTAACACCAAAAGAACTGAGCAATTTTGAGCTATTTAGCATAGGGATGGTGTCCTGGTGTGGCACTTTAGGATCAACACTGAATTGCTAGGTTAACTGTTCAAACTCACCAGCCACTCCTCGGAAAGCCTATACAAGAGTCGCTATGAGTCAGAACCTACTCGGTGGCACTTAGAAACAACGACAGCATAGAGATACAGAGATCTGGTGACACAGTGGATAAAGGTTTGACTGCTGATCAAAAGGTTGGCAGTTCGAACCCACCCAGCAGTTCTGCAGGAAAAAGACCTAGCAATGTGGTACTATCTAGATTACAACCAAGGAAACCCTATGGGACAGTTCTCTGCCAGTTGGAGTCATTGCGAGTTGGCTTTTCTTTTTAAATAATATTTTATTGAACTTTCAGTGGCGGTTTACACAGCAGTTTAGGTTGCCATTTTTCACTTTCTACACAGATTATTCAGTGATGTTGGTTACATTTTTTACAATGTGTGAATATTTTCATTATATCTGTTCTGGTTCCATTTCTATTATCCTCGTTTTTCTGTCCCCTTACATTCTCATCTTCATTTAAAAATAACTGTTGACTTTAAAGCCTATAGGTGAGTATTCAAAGGAGCACATACTTATGGGTAATATTCATTATTTTGTGAGTCAGTCTGTTGTTTAGCTGCAAGGTGACCACAGGGGTTAGTTTTGGTTCAAGGTTTAGAGATGATATCAGGGTAATAATCCCAGTGAGTCCTTCAGTCTCAACCAGTTCAGTATGTCTGGTTTTTTTTGTTTTTTGGTTTTTTTTTTTTTTTTTGGTCTTGTTTTAGGATTTGAGGTTGTGTTCCACATTTCTTCTCCCATTCTATCAGGTTCCATCTACTGTGGCCCCGATTAGGATGGTCAGAGGTGGTAGCTAGGCACCATCTAGTTCTTACAGTATCAGGATAGATAAGACCATGGTTCATGTTCCACACAGTTTTCAAGGCTGTAACCTTTCAAAGACAGATCACCAGGCCTGGGTTCTGAGGAATCTATGGGTGAATGTGAATCATTAACCTTTCAACAAGTAGTTGAGTATCCAGGGACTCCGTTAGGATCATAATACTATGTCAGTGTTTTCATTCTTGGCTGTCAAGACTATGTAGAGAGAGAATAAGAGGCCAGATAGAAAAAAAAAATATGAGAGAAGGAAGTTTTTGTATAATACAGTGCTCTTTCTACTGAAAAATTTAAAATAATAAAAAATTTAGAAGGAGACTCCCCTCCCCTATACACTATACTTCTGCCCTATAGCCATGCCAATAGTTGTGTGCTGTAACTGATTATTACAGTATTGGTAATTTTGGGACTCTTGGTGTGACACTGTAGGATAAGCAGTGGAATGCAAACCACAAGGCCAGCAATTCAAACCCACCAGGGTTCTTGGGAAACCATAGACAGGGTTGTTATGGGTCAGAACCGACTTCACTACCTTTAACAATGACAGTAATTTAAAAAAACAAAAACAAAACCATTATTGTGAATTGAGTGCTAGTTTACATGTAAGAACATCGGTTTTACACACATACTATTGTGTTTCATTTCATTGCAATGATTATAATCCCTTCCATGCATCATCATTTAACAGATTTGCTTCTATTCCCTCTGTTATTTTTTGTTTGTTTGTTTGTTGTTGTTGTTGTTGTTTTTGATGTACACAAAAACATTCAGGAATATATAATCATCTAAACAACCGAAGGGCACATTCTGCAAGCCTGCCTCCTGGCTGCCAAGCACACAGCCTTTCTCTTTCCATGAGTCTAGTCTCTCTCTCCATGTCATCATCTCTACCTCCATCTCTGCTGTCCTCACTCTTCTCTGGATAGGGTCCCACATTCTGCTCATGCTCTTCTCCCTTGATGGTCCTAGGGTCCTCTGTTCCTGGACTGTAAGATTAACTACTCCCCCATTTATGCTACAAAATGTCTACCTTTACAGTTATGACAGTCACAATTAGCCATGATAACAATTACTCACTGTTGAATCATAAGAGTCTTTTCCCCATCTCCTTTGACAACAATTCTTTGAAATAGATTTTAATCCAAAGAATGAACGTCACTGCAGTGCAGTGAGAGAGATAAAGAACAATACTTCTCAAATTTTAGCATACATCACAATTACAGAGAGGACTTGTTGAAATGCTGAGCACTGGGTCACAAACCCCAGAGTTTCTGAATCAAGAACTCTGGGCATGGGGCCCAAGAATTGGCATTTCTAACACATTCCCAAAAGATGTTGGAGGTCCAGGTAATATACTTTCAGAATCACTATTCTAGAAGTAAGGTTTCTTCTTCCACCAAGACAAATGACCCTCCCTTTCTCTCTCTCTCTCTCTCTCTCTCTCTCTCTCTCTCTCTCTCTATATATATATATATATATATATATATATATAATTTGTTAAAGCAGGAAACATTGGGAATAGCTTCAGTATTTATCAATAAATGCAGTACTGTGCTTCATCAAAAAGAGTGAGCTAGATCTGTATGGATTGAATGGGAAGTATTATAGGGTATGTTGTTGTTAAGTGCAGACAAGTTTGTTTTGACTCATAGAGACCCTATATAGGGTTTCTGTGGAGTAGGTGGTGAGTTTGAACCACTGACCTTGCAGTTCAAACCGACATTATGGTCCAGTGATTATCCTATAGCGCCACACCAGGACTCCCTATAAGATGTTGTTGTTGTTGTTAAGTACCGTCGAGTCGGTTCCGACCCATAGCGGCCCTAAACAGGGTTTCCGAGGCTGTAAATCTTTACGGGAGCAGAAAGCCTCATCTTTCTCCCACGGAGCAGCTGAGAGTTTCAAACTACTGACCTTGCGGTTCCTATAAGATGTAGTAAATGAAAAATAGGAACAGGGCAAATATGGCATACGGTTGTAATGGGATAGTATTTAGCATAAAAAGGAATGATGTACTGATAAATGCTGCAATGCAGATAAATCGTGAATACTGTGCTAAGTGAAATAAATCAGATGCAAAATAAATCAGATTCCATATGCTTTAATTCATATGGAATGTTCAGAATAGGGTTATCTATGGAGATAGAAAGTAAATTATTGGTTGTCTAGAGCTGGGGAAGATGGGAGATAGGAGGGTGAGAGCTAAAGTTTTCTTTTTGAAAGTGATGAAAATATCCTAAAATTAACTGTGAAGACGGTGGTACAACTTTTGAAATACTAAAATCATGGAGTTGTACATTTTAAATGTACAAAAATTGTATGGTTTGTGAATTATGTCTCAGAATAGTTTTTTGTCTTCTGTATCACAGTAATTTGCGGAGTATGATCCATCTGTTTGTGAAAAAGAATACATTGGATACACATGTACGCCAATGCAAATGCATAGCGAAAGGTTTAGAAATGTTAAGGAAGCTTGTGAATGAAATTTTGCACCTGTTTCTTTGTATTATCATGGTTTTCTTTTTGTTGTTGTTCTTTTACAGTGGAAATATTTTTGAGTGTCATTTTGTAATTGAAATATATCATGGTTGAAAAATCAAGTGCTTTTCACCCTGAAACCTTTTAGCTCAGACTGTTGATTTAGGCTGGAGGTAGGAGCACAGTGATGTGTAAGTCATCTGCATTACCTGAAGATGATATTTCTTTAGCTGATTTCTTTTGTTGTTGTTATAATATCCTGAAAACTCTTGTATGTTCTGCTTAAAAGTGTGTTGAAAAATGATGTTCTCAAACCTGAGATATTAACTCCAAGTACTAATGGAGAACATTTTTGTGTCTAGTCTTAGGTGTGCAGTTGTCAAGGGAATGAGCCCGAGAAGTATTTGATGTATAAATGTTATCATTGTTTTAAAATTAGCAATAGCTCAAACTCCAGCTTCAAAGGCATTGGAAGTAACTGGTTGGGGAGAAGAAACTGTATTAACATGACTCACACTGCAGGATCACTCGCTGGATAACTGTAGTGGGAAGGATCTGGGTTTGGGCCCTAACTACAACCCTCCTTTTGCTACTTACCAGCTAGTTGTGGTGCTGTAGCATCAGCACTGAACTGTGAACCCCAAGATCGGCAGTTCAAACCCACCAACTACTCCTCGGAAACCCTATTCAAGGTCACTATGAGTCAGAACCAACTGAATGGCACTTAACAACAGCAACAACATGTGACTTTGGGAGAGTGATTTATCCTCTCTGGGCCAGCTTCCTTATCTGTATTCTGGGTAAAAGATGTCAGGATTAAATGTGACATTTTATAGCAAAGTGAGGTAGATAATAAAAATTCATGATTTTTTTTTCTTTCACTCCAGCAAAAGCAAAGACGATATCAGAGAAAATACAGCTGATCAGAAATGACGGGTGTGCCAAATAAGGCATCCATTTGGTTGGCTTGAACTCCCCTTGCAGATTAGTCATTTCCATTAAATAGACTTCAGAAAATGAGGCTGTCAAATAGAGTGCCTAGA